AGGAATGCCAGGGGCAGGAATGAAGAGCTTGGGTGCAGAAAGATGAGCCTGGGGACTGCAGATTGCCAGAGAAGGGACATTTTTGGCGTGAAAAGCAGTTGTGGGATGGAAGGCCTGGGTAAGGATTTGGGTTGCCAATGTGAGCAAAATCATCCTGATTCTTAGCAGGCTGATCAGAGAAAGAGAGCTAGAAAGGGATGGAGGACAGAACCTCAGAAATAGCAGAGAAGTCTGTCCTCCAGATAACATTTTGTGTTTAACTGGGGCTTTAAATGTGATTGTTTCTCTGTGGTCAGCAAATATCTGTGAAAATGTGGTGCTGGTGTTCCAGGAGGATCACAGCCTGTTCATACCATCACTTACTGCCTTAGCTCCAGTGACCAAAATGTCCTATTGGTACCAAAATTAAAGGCCAGTTCCTTAACCTGTAGATGTCTGTATAGTGCCATGCCATGAATTTCCTCTTTGCTTGTGGCTTAACATTCAGAATATTTTTAAATGGTGTTAATGTATTTATTAGGATTATTTTCAGCTCTGTATATGGGCACACACACAAAAAAAAAAAAAAAACTCCACACAGAAAATTTCTCCAGACATAAAACTTGTCCACACAGAAGATGTAAGGAATGATATTTTGAAATACCTGTGCAGGTTTTTTTTCACAAGGAACATGTGTGTGTCCAGTGATTCTGATCTTAATGGCAGGATAATACTCAGCTGTTTTCAAAGGACTCTGGTGTGGTTTGTTGTTCAGAATAGGTCTGGTCTAAGGATGAATGTGGTATGTGCAGTGAAATGTTTTCTGGAGAACCAGCAATTTTTTATAATGTTTGAAAGTTGGGATTGTAGAGGGACGGATTGTAGAGAAAGGCTTGCAGGAGGAATGGTCTCATAATTAAAACATGGAAGGTATGGTGTGTGTCTCTGCCAATGCCACTGAACTTCTGTGTGGTCGTGTTGCTTCAAAACAGCATTTTTGTTTCAATACTTCTATTTTGTGTCTCTTGCTTTCCGAGTGCCTGACTTGGGGATTCTTGAAGAAATTCTAAGCACCCAGATGCAAATGAAGGTAGCACTTGCACACGTGTAATTCTGTAAAATGCTGAGCATTCTGGAAAAGCAAGTCCTAACTGCCTGAGATTCTGTGTCTGAGATGAGGAGATACCTTTTGCTGTGTGTTTTATGTGCCTCAATTCCCTGCCTCTGAAATGGAGGTAACTTTGCTGCCTTCTCTCCCAAGAATATTAGGGAAATAACACAGTTGGTATTTGTGAAGCATTCAAGTGCTATATACTGACATGTGCTATTGAAAAGCCATTCTGTCTTCAGAGCAAGGTTTGAATAGTGTACAATAAATATGTCAGAAAAGCTCAGAGTAAACAGTGACAAGAAAATAGAATACTGGCTAGCCAGTCACTAAAGGAATGGCCAGTCACTAAATGAGCACTGTGCATCCTCCTCACTGAGGAAGATGGGGAAGGAGAGTATAAGGCCTGTATAATGAAATTCTCTATCAAAACAAATACATCTGTAAAAGCCTAACTCACTTTCCAACATCCAATCTAAGGATCTTGAATTTTTTACTTTTCCCATCTAAGTCTTTGCAAATTTTTAGACATTCTTCTATTTTCTGAAATAGACAGTATTATAGTAGTATATATATTTAAAATATATTTTTATATATACTACTATAGAATATATACTATTATATACTACTACATATTCTGAAAGTACATCTTTATTTATATTTAAAATATAGTAGTATATATTCTAAAATAATATGTTTATTTTAGAATAAATATTAGCAAATGAACACAGCGTGGACATAAAAGATGCTTTTTGTTTTCTGACCACAGTTTACAATCCAGGGTGGTGTGTAAATAGACAGTATTATAGTAGTATATATTTTTAGAAGTCTATTTATATATATATACTATTATAGTAGTATATATTCTAAAAGGATATATATTATATATAAATCAATAATAATATATATTATTATCTATTTTATATATTATAGCTATAATTATATCTTTCATATATATTATAATAATGTTATATATATACACTATTAGAGTAGTATATATTTTTAAAGTATATCTATATATACTATTATAGTGTATATATTCTAAAAGTAAATATTGTATATAAATATATAATAATATATAAATATATAATACTGTTATATATATACACTATTATAGTCGTATGTATTTTTAAAGTATATTTATATTATATATATACTATTATAGTAGTAAATATTCTAAAATATATATTTACTTATATTTAAAATATAGTCGTATATATTCTAAAATTATATATTTATTTTGTAAAAAAATATTAGCAAATGAGCACAGCATTGACATGAAAGATTTTTTTTTGTTTGTTTGTTTTCTGACCACACTTTGAAGCCCAGGGTTTGCAGTGGTTTCCTGTCTGTGATATTTAGTCAGGGATATTTAATCTCTGAGTGAGATGAGTTTGCTGGGTCTTGGTTCTGTTTGCTCCTCATCACAGGGATGCCAGCAGGGAGCGAGAGAAGGTTGGATTCATTCACTTGTCTCTCCACCTCCCACATCCCCATGCCCACAGCAAAGTGCTGTCCACTTTTTCAGAGAGAAAATGTGATTGAGGGATCTGCCAAGTGCTCCCCTGTACTTCCCAGCTTCTCCTTCTCTGCTTTTCAGCGCTTATATCCCCTCCACACCACCCAGGTCGTACCTTGACTCTTCCCCACAGACCTTTTGCTCGGCAGCCAGAGGAGAAAGGCTCGTGCCCTGTGTGTGATGTGTTGAGGCAGAAATGAGGCATCCTGAGCCACAGCCACAGCCAGAGCCAGGCTTAACCTGCCTTGGAGTAAGGGCAGAGCAGTGGGTGAAGGATTCTCTGCCACAGCACTGGTTTAATGCAGCTGAAATTCAGAGCTGCACTCACTGTGTGGTGTTTACAGCTGTGTCATATTTTCTGAAAAAATCCCCTTGCCCAGGATTCTTCTCCTGGGAGGCTGAGAAGCCTCAGAGAAAAAGACAAACAATATTGTCTCATTTGCTTCTCTTGTGTTTTGCTGCTTTGGAATGTGTTTGGACATTGTTTATCCAACAGGTGATTGTTTCATTGGTTTCATGTGAGTTGTTTTGACTTAATAACCAATCAGTGCCAAGCTGTGTCAGACTCTGGAGAGAGTCACGAGTTTTCATTAGTATCTTTTACCCTTCTGTAAGTATCCTTTCTGTATTCTTTAGTATAGTTTAGTTTAGTATTCTTTAATGTCATATAGCAGCATAAAATAATAAATTAGCCTTCTGAGAACATGGAGTCAGATCCATCATTCCTTCCTTCGCCTGGGAACCCCGCAAATACAGGACAGGTGTGTGGGTTGTGCTTCACAGGCAAAATGCTGTCAATAAATACACACCTCTTTGCTATTCCAGCACTGGCATCTCACCCTGGACACAGGCTTTCCGGCTCCTCATGCATTACTTTATGCATTTCCTTGCCTTGGAGAAAATAACAGCACAGTTCTTCTGCCAGTGCTGCCCACAGCCAGGAGTGGCCAGTGCTGGGAAGCCTTTGGGAGCATCTCTCAAGTTACACCCTGCTGCACAGCCTCAGAGCCAGCAAGAATTCTGCAGGCAGCTCACTGAAAATTCAAATATTTCCTATGCTTTTTAATTGAATTCTTATGATGCAGAAGTTGCAAAAGTATTGAGGAAAGGGAAGCTTTGTTTAGATGTGATAAAAGCAAATTGTAGCAAAAGCTGAGAATAAGGATAGCTCACAGAGCCTCCTAATTCAGTTTTGCAGCCACTGCTGTTCTCCTGTTCCCTTCAGAAGTGCATTTTAAAGGAACCACCCAGTTTAGCCTTTGCCTACTAAATCTTTCAAGAAATGTGCTCCTTCCATGGTACCAGTTTCATAAATTATTGCACTGTGCAGAAGATGCTCAACTGTCTCATCAGACCCAGCTCGGGTCCAAAAGCAAGCCAGTCATTAAGCAAGTAAAGCCTCAGTTCTACATTAATTTTCACCTTACTTTACAAAAGCTAAATGGTAATGTCATGTCTTTTATATGTCTCCCTCAGAGGGAGGGTGGAAATATTTTTGTCATGGTTGAAAAATAAGGTTTACTGTGCAAGGGCCATGTGCTTGTGGGCAGCCATGTAACCTCTGTCTCTGTTTCCCCTTCTGTAAACTGCATTTAATGTTCCTACGACTCACTGGGGAGGGCAGGCTTTGATTAACATGTATGATTGCCTTCTACAAATGCAGCTACTGTCACTGCTTGGTTTTATTAGCCACCATCAGTAGAATTTGAGGAGGAAACATGTAGCAGAATAACATGCAGCCAGAGTGAGCCCTCTGCATCTTTTGACCATCATCTGATTTATTTTCAGACTCTTGTCACCGCATGTGCATATTTAAAATAAAACTTGCCTTACACTGTAGTGCTATAGAAATCAAGTAATTGGATGTAGAGGTTGACGTGCAGAGGAAACACTGTTTTTTAAAGGGAAAATGCCCATAGATACAAGTGCCCATTTAATACAAAATTTATATTTTATACAAAAAATTATACAAAATTTGTATTTTGTTTAGAAAATTTTCATAAGGAAAAAATCCGTTCCAATTTATAGAATCCAATATATTGAAAACATGAACCTGATCTTTACAGAAATTGTGATGCACGGTCAAGAAAGCAGTTACGAAATTTAAAACATTGTGCCTTTAATATGTCAGATAAGAATTCCTTATATCATTCCTGTTGTGTTGAGGTTTTCAAAATATAAGTATTTGGAACATGAGAAGAATATTGAGGTAGGTAAGTCTTTTTCTCTCTAGAAGAGTGCCAGGGAAGTGCTTTATTTGTGTGAGTAAACACGGATCAGTCAGGGAGAAGACAGCGTTTCGAAATGCGCCGTGCAAAACGAATTCATCTTTTTTTTTCTCCATGTTTTTCTCTCTCTCCCTCTCTCTCCCCTCCTGAAAACCTCCTGCCACAGCGGCTGCATTTGCCTCCAGACTTGTCAGACACAGTGAGCCGCGCGAGCAAACAGGATCTGGCAGGATCCGCCAAACTGCTGAGCTCAGGATGTGGCGCCATGGCCATCGGCAAGAAGCACCTGGACTTCTAGTGATTTCTGCTTAGCAGCTTCACTCTCATTCAGCTGACACTCTCATTAGGAGTGTTAATGACTTATATAAATATTTTTCTTAATGATTTGACCCAGCAGTCTTTAAAAATACGTGTTGTCGTATGATGCCTTCTTTTTTTTCTTTTTTTCTTCTTTTTTTTTTTTTTTTGTGTCTGTTCTCTTTCTTTGTACTAAATTTAGTCTTGCTTTGGTTTTGCTTTTCTGTTATGTTGAGTCCTGCCATTGTTCTGCTCCATTGGAAACAGGTAGTATTTTGTTCCTTTACTTAAAATACAAAAAAATTGCAATCACCCTTTCTTTTTTATTTTTTTTTTTTACATTAAAAATAAAGGGATGTTTTTCCCAAAAGATTTTTTTATATACTTGCATATAATATTTTGTATGAATGATGGGTTTATTGAAATAAAGGAATGGAACTAAGCAATTTGTTGTCATGTGTTATTCAAACAGCAAAACTGCACATTTTAAAAAACATTCATTTCTGTAATTGAAACACCATTCTTAAATTTCCGGAAATCCCTACCTCATTTTATTAAATATTTAATAACAAATTTATAATATATAAGTTTTTATTCTAATAGGCCACTAATTGAGGATGGGGGGTGTTTAAATCAGAATATATTATAGATAATTACTTTGCCTTATGGCTTACTACATGCACTAAAATGCACTTGACGGAATTTCCTAACCAGAGAGGAAAGAATTGATTTCCTTATGTAGTTCAAAACAGTAATCCTAAACAATTGAAGTCAGCACTATGAAATTATGTCAACAGACATAATTCAAGATGGAAATTCAAACCGACAGCTACATTAATGCTGGGAAACCAGAAGAGTGCATTGGAGCTGGGGGAAGGATATCACAGCGAGCTGGTCTAAAGCAGGGCAGAATACACAAGTAATTCAGCCTTTTGTACCCTCAGATACACAATTTGTGAACTCCTAACTCTTGTGCACGCATCCCTGTGTCTCTCTCATCAAACAAAGGAACAGGGAAGCAAAGCTGACCTGGGAATTAAAGTGGTTTGCATTCTTTCTTCTGAGGCTGACTTCCATTTTGAAAGGTAATATCTTCTTCTCTGTAGAACTTCTAAGCCACCCAGCTGTAAGATTGCATTACAGTTTCAAAATTTAGTCTTTATAATAGTGTATTACATGGCTGGAGTGAAATTGAGTCTTCAAAGAACGTGTTAATAGGATGCAATAATGGTAACATATTTTGATGGGTTTGAAAAACCAAGACTTGGGAAAGTGGTTTGCTTTTTTTTTTTCTTTCCCTCTGCAATCCAGGTTCTACTTTATTTTTTTCTTGACAACGCTGTGTAAAACAAAGACATAGCTTTTAAAACTGTCTAACTAATATGATGAATGTCAATCACTTAAAAAACTCCACTGTAGCATAAACACATACTGTATACAGCTTTTATTCTGAATTAGAATAATTGAATCAATGACAGTGATTTGCCAGGATGTCAAATCTATCCATCATATCCTGTCACTACCAGTTTATTTTTTGTGATCAAAATCAAAAAGACTACTATTTTGTCATCAGCTATTTCATTAGTAGTAACAATCAGGTTTTCTCTTCTATATTTTTTAGATATGCCTGTTATATTTTTTATTTCTAAAGACACAAATCCTTTTTAAATCTTTTCAAAATAAAGTTTCAGAACTGAACTGTCAGTTTAGTGAAGAAAAAAGACATCTACTTTCCTATGCCAACATATTTAAAATATTATCATTGATGTCTCAAACATTTTTTTCTCTTCTTGTATTATGTGTAACACTGAATGGAAGTTCTCATTAGATACATAATTGTGCCTTTTGAAAGCGTGAAATAATTTAAATACTTAGGATAAAGTGATTTTTAACAAAGGTGAAGTTTTACATTGTATGTCTTTTTAATGTAAATAACACAAAACACAGTATTTCTTTGTGGAATATAAAGTCACAAGACATATAAATTGCTGCCAACATATTTAAATAGGTCATTGACTTAACATACAGAGGAGAAAATATCATTAAAGTCACAGTCCCATTTCTAGCTAAGATATTACCTGATAATTGTTGGTGTGCATGCCACGTGTGCATGTCTGCCTATATGTGTGCCCTGTGCATCTGCAAGGCTTCAGTTTCCAAAACTTCAGCAGGGTAATATTAAAGCTGACAAAGTAATTAAAGAAACAAAGAAATTAAAGCCAGTTTGAGTAATAAAAGGAACTCCTTCTACAAATCTCCATTAGTTTGGGTTTTTTCTGAGTCACCAAATGTGCTTTGTAAAGTAAGTTTTGCAGTGTTGTTTACCTCAGGCAAAGACATGGAGTGCTGGAAGATTTTTAGTTTTATAAAGATAGGGTAACTGAGAGGTGTTTTAAAAGATTTTATTCTATTATCAGTCTCGTAGAAGGGTGAGATATGAGATGTAATCTAGTTTAATCTCTCTCTTCCCAATCTCTGTTCTATAATCCTCTTCGTTCACTTTATCTCAGTATTTATATACAGATATACAAAACCATACAAACTTCCAATCAAGTTTTAAAAAATCTTTTACAAGTCCATTTCTCACAATGGAGCAAAATTTCTCTTCTTTTCTTCCAAAATCTCCAAGATCAGCTACAACTACACATGACAGTGAGTGTGCTCATCCAGCAGGCTGAGAGGTGAGACAGAGCTTTGGGTGTGCTACCTGATAGCAGGTGGAGAGAGGGTAGATTTGGGTAGCTATGGGGCAGATAGAAGGTAAAGATGGGGTAGATAGAAGTATGGCTAGAGTGTGGATAAAATACAGATTTCAGTCACTGCACCAGCAGCACTTTTGACTTGGGAATCCAGAGAAATGTTCACCTGGTGATTTTCTGTGCCTTTTCCCCGTGACCACTCTGTGCCTGTCAAGCTCCTGTGTACAAAGCATCCTTTTTCAGTTCTGTCTTCCCTTGACTTGCAGGCAAATATTTACCCAAGGGGAGCAGCTCAGGTAATCGAAGAATGGGCACAGCCTCCCCTGCCAGGCTGTGGCAATGTGCTCCCTGCTCCTTTTGGCACCTCCAGAGGCCCCTTGCTGGCTCGGAGGGAAATCTGTGCCATGCTCACTCCTGCTCAGAGATTGCAGAACGAGGGGGTTTTGTTTATTGCGTTTTTTTTTAAGCAGAACTTCCTACTTTTTAGCAGGCTACAAACTGAAACCACCGAACTCAGCAGGGAAACAATGGATTCATCCCAGTGAAGACGTTCCCAATTCAGCAAAAGAACCTGATCTTTACAGAAATTGTGACACACAGTCAAGAAAGCAGTAATGAAATTTAAAACATTGTGCCTTTAATATGTCAGATAAGGATTCTTTATATAATTCCCGTTGTGTTGAGGTTTTCAAAACATAAGTATTTGGAACATGAGAAGAATATTATCGTAGGTAAGTCTTTTTCTCTGTTTGTAAAGACATTTCAAAAGCAATTTCCAAGGTGCAGCTGAATTCAATTTTGTGTAACAGTAGCTACAAGCATCTGGAAATGGGCTCTCAGCTACTCCAATTTGATACCTTGGTAGTACACAACTGGTTTAATATTTAAATTTAATATTGAGTAGTGATGCCGTTCCAAACACAGATTTGGGGAAAGTGCAAAAGCCTTAAATAATAAAATAGTCTTAAAATAATCTTTTACCATGCCAGTATTGGAAGGTGAGCTGATAATCAAGCAGAGAAACCACAAGGTTAATTAAAAATTAAGATTAAAAATATGGCTGTACTACAAAAACTAAACTCAAACACACACTCGCATGTATTAAACAAGTATTTCTCCAGGATCATCTATTAGAAATTTAGTTAAAGTGTTCTTCTTCTTTTGCCTGTGCTGGAGAAACATCATAGCTACAGAGCACAACAGAAATAGGAAAGATGCTTTTGTGCCTTTAAGAGATGGTAGAAACAAGTCCTATCCCCCATGCCATCTCTTGGGATTTCTGTTTTCTCTTGTGAGCTACATGAGTGCAGGACCTGCCTACATTTCTTTTTTTAATCACACTGAGCACATGATCGTGCTTATTCAATAATAAATGTACCTGTGCAGAAGAAAAGAATGAAAGTGAATCCTCTTCATCCTCGGGAAAAAAGGCATCTCACATGGCAAGAGGGTAAGAAAACAAAAATTCCACCACTCTTTTTTTTCAGGTTCTATTTAAGCAAACGTTTTTCTTTTCCCAAAAAAAAAAAAAAAAAAAAAAAAAAAAAAAAGAGGAAAAACCCCTGTATTTCAGCACCTGAGTAGATGAATCTTTCAGGACTGTTGGACATCAAGCATCCTGGAGCATCTGCTGAAAACTTGGCTGCTTATTTAAACTCTGCCTTTAAACAATTTTGAAAGTTATCAGACACATCAAACTAATTTACTCCTGTTCATATCAAAACAAAGACACCTTTTATGTTTTCAGCATTTTATTGCATGAGGATTTTCTAGACCTGCAGAACTTAATCTGAAAAGTCTTCCTGAGAAGTCAGTGATAGTTTAGACCAGGAGCAACCTGGTAGGGTAAGGTCCAGAGGATCTTTTACAATTTAGCAGATGTAGAGATTTTTTAACTGCATATTCCTATATATATTTTTTAAATGTATTTAGATGTCTTCTGGCATTGAAGATTTATGTAAAACCCAAAATATAGCAAGGTTTTTTTAAAAAAGGTGTTTATGCTGGCAGAGTTTGAGTCTGAATGTTCATAGCCTCAGAATCTTCTCAGCACTTAGAGTGTCAGAGGCATTCTCTTAAAAGTCCTGAAATGGGTGAATTTTGGTGCACTTTCAGATATTTCCTTTGAAGGCAGGTTGAAGCAGGTGCACTAAAGAAACTCTTGCTGGAGTTTCACAGGGCTGGACTCAGAGAAGAAGAGAAATGATGAATGGATGTGATTTAGGTATGAAATCAAGCAGTTTTCCCTGCCTACACTTTGAGATAGTCTGTTGTGTGGAGAAAGAGCTGTAAATCTTTTTAAAATATGTTGCTTGAGTGAAACTTTTCAGCAGTTCTTAGAATGCATTTGTTTAATGCAAAGCAAGTCAGAGCTTCTACTCATAGGCCAGGGCCGTTTGTGCAGGGCGTCATTCTTGGCCTGGAACTTGCATGACTACAAAACAAATTTGGCTTCCTGACTTGTTTTAAATCAGGACAAGGATTCTTCTAGCAGGGCTTGACACCAGTTCTAGCTCTGCTGTCTCCAGCCCACAGCCACAGCTGGGAACTGCAGCTGCAGCACCTCATTCCTGACCAGGGAAGTTTTAGTGCATCCCTTTCTTTCCTGGGCACATCCAACTTCTCTGTGGATCCAGCAGGTGAACTTGTCAGACGCAAAGATTCCTCAGCCGTGTAGTGAAACTCCTGCCAGCAGCAAGGCCTGGCACTTGGAGAAGGTGAGCTAACCACAGAA